TATATATATATATATATATATATATATATATATATATATATATATATAAAATTATTGTACATAACGTTATCTTGATTATTAATCATCAGAATAAATTTACTTATCAATAAATAACAGCCTCTATCTATACAAGTTTCGGATATCAATACTTATGCACTGAACTAACATCGGACAAAATTCACGAAGTTCACTGTACGGCCCTTTACACAACGTAACATGCGTCCGCTCTTCCTTTGCTCTGCTGCATCAGTGATTCTCAAACATCGTTCCCAAACCACAGCAGATATCACAAAGCTATGTTACCATCGTAACTCAGAATGAAGAGTTTTCTTTTTCTTCGGCAAATTTCCCATAGACTATGACTCTTGCGAAAGCACGTTCGCCAGATTAAAAAAAGAAAAATGGATAAAGCTATAACGGTTGCATTCATTCTTCTATATGCTTCCTTCATCTGTAAAGAAGTCTCTGAACCTACAAAGGGCTAGCCTATTTATTCACGCGTCATTTCGCTTATTTTCTTGGAAATGTTTTTCTGGCGAAAAATGACTTGAGAGGATCTTGAGAATCACTGACCCAGAGAAAATATTCCGATCGACCAAAGCCCAGCGGCACGTCCAATCGGAGTGCCTCTAAAGAAGAAAATTGATTTTGTACCTTAGCGACTCATAGCGATAGGCTCTTTCCTCCCTCGGCGAGATTCTCGCGGCGGTAAACTATTCGTGCTTGAGAATCGCTGCTCCGAAGAAAGTGATCCAACTGACAAAGCCCATCGGCACATCCAACCGGAGGATCGCTAAATAACAGACAGACAAGTAACGAACAAGGTGAACATCGAATTTCAGTGAAGGGAAACAAGTTAGAAACGTCGCACCGGCTCGAGTACGAAAAGGAAGATGTACCCGGGAGGACCCTCGCATGGCACCAACGCTTGGTACACGCCTGATAAGCGGACCCACGGTGCGCCCGAGACCCGGGGAATTTTCGAAAAAAAGAGCAAGCGGGACTAGACGGTCGTTCCGGGTGTGGTTTAAAGAGGCGGCACGGCCGCCTCGCAATATCGCGAGTCTCAAAGTGCACCGTACACGGCTACGTTGTCGTCACGACTTATCCAGCTACACCGACGGAAAAATCATCGCGTGACTAATCGTCGCGTACCGAACGGTCGATGTGATATCTTGCTTTTCTCCTTAAGGTCCCTCAATTTGTCCCTCAAATCGCTGCTCAATGTATCATCGACTAATCTCTTCTCTAATTTCTCGATCTCAATCAAGAGGATCCAGAAAGATCTTGATGGATTGACACCGACTAATGAAAGATTCAATCGCTTGGACGTATGTTTCTTTCCGGGCAAGGTGAGCGAGTTTCCAGTTGTATACTTTATTTACGTTATAACATGCAATAGTCTCCCTCCTTTTCTGTCTATCTATCTACCTATTTGTCTATCCTTTCTTTTTTTCTCTCTCTTTTTCTCTCCCTGGTCAGAGTTAACAAAGTTGTAGCCGCGGAATCAACCGGCCGCATCGGATCGCGCTTTGGAATTATTCAATGACATTCCAGGCAGATCCGTATCTGACTTCGTTAGCACGTCCGGAATATGACGGTCGCGTGCGTACGCGCGCGTCCAAGGAGGAAATCTCCGATCGGGTATTACAACGGCGTGTGCACGTGTTGGAACGAGCCACGACCGGCTCGTAGACTTCTCCTTGGTGCCTTCTGCCGAGTACACACAGCCGGCTAGCGGGATCTCCCGAGAGGTCATGGCGATGCTAACCAGCACCGGAGGCGATTCGCGTCTCGAAGGTTGGGAGCAGTGCACAGGCTCGACGGGGAGAGAGCCATTGATTGGTCGACGGTTATCTGGAAGATAAAGCGCCGTGCAGAGGTGGCCGCGCTGGGCGGCCGAGAGCAGCACTCGGGTGCAAAAGTGAGCGAGCATCGATTGGCAGAGGCGAGCCGTCATCTCTGCTGCTGCCAACATTTACCACGCGGAATCGACCACGCCGTCGGCCTCGAAGGCAAAGGATACACGCGGGGACAACGTCGTCCCGTCGACGTGAACGGCTGGAATCGCTCGATCGCGATTGGTCGCCCACGGAGGCGATCCAGAGACACCACGTTGGCGGCCGGCCGCCAATCGGTAGAATCAGAAGAAACGCAACACGAATCTGATCGGACGAGAACGCGGCTACTTACTCCAAGCTCACGAGCTACCGACAACCCCACGGCCGATCCCGATTCGTCCTTGTTCCGTGCGCCTCGGCCAGCTACGACGTAGAGACTAACGCCGGGTCCCCAGTGCGCCATGGACAGGCAGGAAACGCCACCGCCGTGACGAAGGCGGCGGCGGCGGCGGCGGCGGTAGCGGCAGTAGCAGGCGCCCATGGGACGTGCGCTGTGCGCAAGGCGGCAAACGTGTGTACGACAGGCGTCTGTCTGTGTCTGTCCCTCATGCGGCCGTTCCGTAACTTCCCGATGACAATGATGTCGCTCTCTCTCGTAATTACACCGACGTGTACGCGGCTGCATATATCATTACGTGACGCAAGTCTGCTCGAGCAGCCGTCGCTGAGCCGAACACACGTGTGTCGTGTAATGGCACGACGATCACGACGTTTATCGCTGGGAAATGGAAGAATGAGCGCACGTATGATCCATGTAATGACGCGACAATGCACTTGCCGTCTGTCTGCTTTTCGTCCAACCTCTGGTCTCACTTGTTCGTTCACGGTAAGTACGCGCGTTCAAGATCGCGAGATCTACCGCGTGCGTCCTATCCACGGTGTTCGACTTCTGTGACTCCGATTGTCATCCGGAGGTTCCGGCCAATAGAGACGAGGATGTATCGTACACAAAGAAAGAGAGAGAGATGAATTTAGAAGTAACTCTGCCGCCACTCTTACTCGGTGTTGTTCAGCCGTCTTATCGCGAGCCTGCGGAAAACACGCGCGGAGCCGGCGTCCCGGTCTGACGTAATGCGCGATCAGCTGTTAACGTCCTCGCCTCGTCGATCGTCAGGGGAGTCTCGATTCCCTCTCTTTCTCTCTCACACACACGAGAAAGAACGAGGTTCGAGAAGAGCGTTATCGAATAGTTCGTCGCGGAGCGCAGCCAATGGCACACGAGGATGAGCAGGAACGGAGGCTACCTATTGGCGGGACTGCCGCACTCGGTTTGATCATCTTTCCGGCGCACCTTCGAGAATCGAAAAGCCGACTCGAAGTCGCCCTTCTGCACCATCTCTTCGAAAGTGCAAGAGTGTCCCTCGCGCGGATACCAATCGAGAAGGGCGTTCACGGAATCTCTCGAGATATCATATCGTATCGTATCATATCGTTCTCGCGGCGGGATGAATAACGAAGAAATGAAGTCGCGATCTCATGCACGCGCGCGCTCTTTCTTTTTCTCCTTCTTTCTTTCTCTTGTTGGTGCATATACGAGGGACGGTTATGTGAGCGTTCGATTACTCACTCACACACACACATATGTACATGACGGGCGCGCGCGCGCGCACACATATCACACAGCCGCAGCTGCGCGCGGTCACACGTGTGCTCGCACACAGATACGCCCGCGCGCGCTACGTGCATCTTCGCGGCCGACTCGTTTAAAGAGCCAGGACGGCATCGCCGGATCTCTAGTAAGGCGCGCTACCGGCTAACGTTACAAAGAAGAGTGAAATGTGGCCGTGCAGCAACGCCCGGAAATGCTTCTCAAAGACATTCCCCCGATTCTGACAAACGGCCAAAACGGTCCCTTTCAGCCGGAGCGTCGAGGAGGCAGCAAGGTCGAAAAGCCCCGCGCGAGAGCAACCGTGCACTGAACCTGTTCGCGCGTGAAACGGCATTTCGAGGCATAGCGCGAGAACGAGAAGGACAAAAACGTGCACACATTGGCCGGCCGAACGAGGAAGAGAGACGGAAGTAGTAGTGTCGGGCGAAGAGATACACGCACCCGTTTGCACCGTCTCCGTCTCTTTCTATCTGTCCTCCTATCTGTCTTGCCCTCTCTCTTTCACCCACATACACACACTCTCTCTTTCTCTCTCTCTTGCGTTCCCTGGTTTTTTCTACTTACTTGGCTGCTCACGAACGTATGCGCTGCGTCGCGTAGTATTTTGAGATCGGAGGCCCGTGGCTCTCTTCCGGGAGGAGATTCACGAGGCAAGCCAGCACACGGCGCGCAGCGCGTGTCACAGGACGTCGGAGCCGGGCATCTCGATCCGGGTATCTCCGGGTCGGCGAGATTGCACACGAAAGCCGCGACGAGTGACAGAACGGCCGGGCTGGTTTGCCCGGGATGACGACGACGACGACGACGACGACGACGACGACGACGACAACGACGACGACGACGACGACAAATGATCGTCTCGACTCGAAGCAGGAGCGCACGTTCTTGTCCCTTTCGTCGTCGTGGCAGAGAGCTCTCGCGCGCGATCGCTCTCTCGCCCTTTCCCTTCGTACGTACGCTCGTTCGCTTGCTCGCTCAACCTCGTCGTCGTAGTAGTCGCGGTCGACGTGGGTCGTTGCGTCGTACTCTACTATCGTACTCCGCAATTTATACCTCTCTCTTTCTATCGTTCGCTCTCGATCTTTCTCTCTCTCTCTCTCCTTCTTTCTTTCTCTCTCTCGCCTCACGTATGTCTCTCTTTTTCCCAATGCCGTCCGTTTGTCCGAAACTGCGCTGTTCTAGAGCACGATGTCCGTTTTCCCAGTGTGACCGATTAAGTCGCAGAGACAAGGTTCGACGCAGAGACAGGTAGACAGAGGTGGACAGTGCGGGCGCGGGCGAGCAAGCATACGCCTCTTCACGAACGAGACCCGGAAAAATACGCGGGACCGGGGATCGTTCACGCGCCGCCGTTCCCGGCTGCTTTTTTCACTGTAGCTCGGGGATGCGGCGTGGCGCGTTCGCCTCGCTCTTCACAGCAGCGAGCCCCGCCTCGGCATGATCGTCTCGGACCAGCCGGACCGGCGTCGTGCAGGAGAAACGAACCTTTTCTCTCCCTCCCTCCCTCTCTTTTTCTTCGCCGCTCGTGAGGATCTGGACGACGGTCGATCGTACGGTCGGCCAACCGCTCGTTTGTTCGATCTCTCGGGTGGATTAGACGGATGGACGAAGTTCGGCCGAGCCTCCGTGGCGCGCTGGCACGACTGGCCGGCTCGGGTTATACGAGAAATGGATAGAGTGCCGCGTGCGCCGCGTCGCGTTGCGTCGCGTCGCGCGCGCCGGTGCTGGCGATATCCGACAGAGAGAGAAAGAGCAAGCGGAGACCCGCGTGTCCGTGCGTATTCGCGAACATCGAGGGGGGCCCTCTCTCTCTCTCTCTCTCTCGCTCGAGAAGGAGGAGGAGGTGTACCGGCTCTCCGTGTCGCCGCCAGCTGTGTGTCGGTGTGTATGGGGAGAGCCGCAATGTAGTAGCGTCGCGTCGCATCGCGCCGCGTGTGTACGCCGTCCGCGTAAAGAGAGCGTAGACGAGCGTGTGCGCGGTGGCGCGAGCGACGGTGTGTTCCCGGTGTTGTTGCGCGCGTGCGCCGCGAGTACGAACGAGGGCACAGACGGCGCCGTGTATCACGCGAGTGTGTGTTGGTAGGATTACGCGAGAGTGTGGTGGTGCACCGCTCCATTCTTCGCTCGTCTAGCTTCCGATTCAGCGAGAGCGAAGAACACAAAAGAGAGAGAGCGGTGTCCACCGCGGACGTGCGAAACAGACTCTCTTACCCTCTACCATAAAACAAATGACACTTACGATGCAGCGAGTACCGGCGTAGTAGCGAGGCAGGGACGTAGGCAGCGGGGAACGGCGCGCCTAACAGTTCTTTTCATTCAGATGTCCGGCGTTCAGGCAGGAAGGCACTGTCATAGATCGGCGATGGTCCCAGCTGACGTGCGACCGGCGTGTCGGGACGGCGTCGCGTCCGTGCCGGCGTGTCTCGTAAATACGCGCGCCCACGGTCGCACGGCGGAATTGCCGTCGTCCTCCACCGGTCGTGCTCGTCGGCGACGGTGGTCGATCGTACGTGAGCGTGTCGCCGCGACGGCGGCAGCGTGTCCGTGAGGCGCGCGCGCGCAAGCAGCCGGCGTACCGGCCATCTGCCGGTCGCGCGCCACAGCTGAATACGCGCGCCAAAACCGTCGCCGCGCGCTGCCTCTTCCTTGTGAGCGCCGCCTCGGTCGGAGCCTTTATCAGCTCTTGTAGCTTCTGCCGATGTGTCGGACGCGTTTCTAAGAATCGCGACAATGCACGCCGATGCGCTGAAGACGTCCTGTCGCGGCCGACTAGGCCGTTGAAAACCGACGGGCTCGCCAAACAACGGTTACTGGACGTTACGCGCACTCGATTTTGTTTAGAAACATCGTCCTGGTCGAGCTCTTTTTTTTTTTCTTCCTTTCTACGGGAGATCACTGACCAGTCATTCGATGATTCGACTCGTGATGGTGACGGCCGAAGCGCTTTTACGACTCCATTGAGTTTACCCGCCAAAAATCGAGGCCGTCGTCCCTCTCACCCGACCCGACGCCGCTCTGCCACGCAGGCGACAGGACGTCGCGTCGCGTCGCGTCCGATCGGTCGTCGTTCTCGTTTCGCCCGAGTCTCCTGTTGGCCGACGTGCGTCGCACAAGACGAGGGACGTCGCGCGGTTACGCGTTCACGACACTCCCGCGTTCTCGTAGCACACCATTGCCGTACCGGTCCGCCATGCTCGCTCCGTCTCTCTTTCTCGGGGGTGTGTGCGAAGCGCTCGAACAAAGTCCGCGTCCCTCCTCTCCCTTTTTCCCGCAACCTCCTCGAGACTCCCTTGCACGCCGTTGTCGGGATCCCTTTAATCTCCCGGAGCTTTAGCGATTACGCCGGCACCCAGGTGGCGATCACGACGGCAGCAACGACGCGGCGGTGTTACGCGGGCCACGCTCTATCGCGAATTATGCAATTTGATGACGTATAGATATCGGTGACGAGACTACGACCGCACGAACGAGCGCGCGCACGCACGCACGCACGCATCGCACGCTTACGACGAACCTGCCGGACACTGGATGCGCTTCTCGCTTCTTGCTTGTTCTCCCGTCCGAAACTAAGCGGGCGGTCGCCGCCGCCGCTTCCTTCGCGAATGGGGGAGAAGAGGGGAGGCATTTGGTGGCAGGGCCGTAATGATGATGCGAATCTCCCCTGTATGAAAGCCGCCGCGTTCTTCTCTCGCCAGTGAGCAAAATCGATGGACGAGAAAGAGGCGAGAAGATAAAAATATCGTCGACAAAAAAGTCGCATACTTTTATTTCCGAGCAAATCGCCGCAACGCGCTACCACTTTTTCTCACACTTCACGGCATTTTTATTTTCACGAGGAGTCCGCGCGCCACGACCTGAATAACACGGAGATATAGTCAAGAGCACGACGGATATATCGCAGAATGTTGGTGGAAATCTAACAATTTTGTGAAATTTACATAACTTTCTATTATCCGATCAAATCTCTTGGACGTAATGTTACTACGAGTCGCACAACTTCTATGAACGTAGGTAGAAATAGAAAACGTATAAAGAGTATGCTCCAATAGATATTCTAACATTGCGAGTAAAATCGAGAGTAATTGCTAGGTAAAATCGAAAGTAATAAAATACTAATTCGGTGAAGGCGCACTCGTCGAAATGTCCGACGAAATATCAATGTATGTCGAACAGGTACATCGAATACTAAAAAGCATAACTCACATATATGTATAAACTTGTATACGAGCTAGTTACACAATAATGACGATAAAAACTATCCTGACGAGATACACCGGTACTTGAAGCGAAAACCGACACCTTCGGCGGGCCCCCAACTTCGCGAGCACGCGCTCCAGGTGCCCGTGGCGTCTTGACACGCGCCTGAGTCAGGTCACCAAGAAGGGGGCCCGGTGCTTTCTTCGTAACGTATTTATTTGAACCCTACTCAACTACAAAAGGATCGTATCCTCTATGTAGGCCGTAGGGGAGGCGCACCCTCCCTTCTCGCCCTCCGGCGGCCGTGTCCCTCCTGCTTCCCTCCAACCCTCCGTAACAGACCAGTCATCCCCACTTGTCCGTTGTCCGGAGGCGCGCGTTGCGCGAAGGAACATAGGTAAGCGCGCACGACGGTAAGGGCTAGCAGGGCTGGGCCGATGTACGCGTCATATGTCGACGATGACGAATACCTCGGGCCGATCCACCGCCGGACGATCGTGGATCTGCATCGCGGAGTACGTGATGGCCTTCACTTCGGCACCCTGCGTGTGCTTGCCGATAGTAAACTCCTCGCCAAACGCGGTCGCCTTGATCTTGAAGGCTTGCACGTCGAATTCCGTAATCTTGACCTTCTGATAACAGAGCGCGCGTTTTACCTCTCTCTCTTTCTCTCTCTCTCTCATCCCCTTCTCCTCGCTCGAATAAAGGTATGCGAAATTCCCGCAAGACCCTCGCAGGATGTCTTTGCAGTAATCGTTTAATTTGTATATCAACTCGCGCAGGTAACGACGATTAAGCGCTTGATCGCTAAACTAACCATTGAACGCGTCTAAATAAGAGAGAATATATAAATAAAAAGTTTTTGTTAACAATGAACAAAGGATGTCTCTTTCTTTTTAACTTTTGGGACTGTTAATCCTCGCATCTCGATGATATCATTATCGATTAATCATTCTCGTTATCATAATAATAACGATACAAAAATCACACGCTTGTACTCAGGCTGAACAAAAAATCACGATGACGTCAAAATAATAATAAAATGACTAAAAAAATTCATTTTTTAATTACGATTCAATCATTCACTCGTCATTTCAACATCATGATTTTTTGTTCTGCTTGGATAACTCTCTTATGCCTGTTTCTACTATTATCGTTTAAACTATCATTAAAGCTGAAGTCTTCATTTGAACAGAATTTCAGATTGAGATTTAATCGATTTGGTAGAAACTGCCATCATGAGAGTCTACGAATAAGAGGCAATACCTTGGCGACGATGTACGGCTCGGCGCTGAACATGAAGAGCAGCTCATCGAGGAAGTGGAAGAGCAAACTCTCAAGATCGTCGCCCTCGGCTTCTATATGATGAATCTGCTCAATCTGCACGCGGTCCAAGTCCGTCGTGTAGCCGAACATGGCCATGGCGCATTGCTCGAAAGCTTCCTCCATCGTCTCGCCCCATGCGTGTAATCTACGATACAATAAGATACGATGAAGTGAATCGAACGTCGCGACAAGGATTTAATGGCATTGTTGGTACGCCTCGACATTTCTGCATGCGCGTCTTCACGCACGTGGAGACGGTTGTTCACGCGTTTTTAGGTTAGCCGCGGTTTGTAGGTTAACCTCCAAAGCTACCGCCGCCAAGCCCAGCCGGTCGACGCCGGTGCGCATTACACAAATGCAATACTCACTGTACGTCCGCGGTGTGGTCGAGATCTGCAACAGAAAGTGCCAATTTCACCGTGGATATTATCGTCGAGGCGTGGACTCGCGGAGGGATCGCGTTATAATTCGCGCGCTGCACGCCAGATCGACGGAACGGAGGTTAGGAAATTCGAATAGGTCGCGGGAATACATGCGTTTCTGCGTCCGCGATGAAAGCGAACGGCGATAGCGCCGGCAAAGATACAACTCGATACTCACATTCGTATTTAGCCGGGGGTATCTCGAGATCTTCCTTCGCGAGCTCGTCCATGATCGCGCGCACAGCTGACTGCGCCCACGTGAGTAAGCGATCAGCTGATTCACTGATGGGTTCAATCAACGGCGATGTTCGTCCGCGTAGGTCAGTTCACATCGGTCAGGTGACGCTACCTGCAAGGCAGGCTGCCTGCCTGCCGTTTAGTCAGTGCAATATAGCTCGATACATAAAACTCGAGAATGAAAGCTTGTTCAATTAATAAAACATAATGAGTTTGGTTGTTAGATTCGACAAAAGAAATATTTTTTCCTCGCGCAACAAGGCTTTTTTATTTTTACGTGCAATTACGATTGAACAGCGGGTCAGTGGATCGTTTTAATTTTTAATTGATTTTTGAATTTTAGTTTTCAATTGAACAACGTAGAAGAAATTACTGTGACAATGCAGTATTCACGTGATTTCTTGTATATAATGAAATAAATTCAATGAAATAATTCGTTATAATGCGTTATAATAAAATAAATTCAAAGGACAGAGATGTCCCACTTCAATCGTATTTTTCAGCAACAGATTCTTTGACTAATCCAAAGTCAAATGTTTTACCTTGTAGCACAAATCTCTAAAAGACTTCTTAAAGAATTCTAACAATGTTCTGGAGGGCTTGGGAACCCTTTAAAAAGTATTTTAGAGATTTGTGCTATATGGATTTTAGTAAGTACTTCGAACTACCGATAACTTTCGAATTTGAAGTGATTGAAGATCGCTTTAATAACCACGTAAGGTTTTTCGCAAATTAGACTTTTGAAAGCTAAAATAAATAACGAAATTTGTTGAAATGATATCAGATAAAATTTATGTTAACTTAAGACTTGGAAGATTCCATTTAAAGATGTAGAATGTTGAAAATTGAACAATTAAGAAAAAATCTATTATAATATTTTTCTTCCCCCCTTCTCTCTCTTTCAGTTATTAGCTCAGGAACCTATTAAGATCTATTTCTTAACACCGTTTTTTAAGATGTATATTATATTATGTAGATTATCTAAGATAGATATTCTAAGATGTAGATTATATTAATTTGACAATGTCAGTTCCGATGATTTGATAGTTACAGATGTTCCTTGAAAATAGTTATTTTCCAAAAAAATCACAAATCACATCCAAACAGTTCACACACGTCCTTACGTCACTGCAGCTAGAAACTTTGATATAACCTCTCTCGACATCCCTGCTGAGGAAAAATCGCCTCTAAGTTGGACCAGTGGTGCGATTCTGTAACTCTTAGTGATCGTTAAGAGTTACAAAATCGCATCATAGAGAGATTACTGTTGTAGAATATAATGCAATAAAGGTAAAATATCCTGCATATATAATTTATAATACATATTTGTTATACTTGCTGTTTTGCAGGAAACAACACCACAGCATGATTTTCGAATTCGTTTATCACGCAGCTTTCGCTTTTCCAGTGAAGTTGATTGGCTATCGTCTTGCCTTTTGCAGAGCTATCATTTGTTACTTCCTAAAGAAGATTAGATAGAGTGGAAACTAATAAATGAAGTCCGCACTGCCATCTATTGTGTCTGATGCCCAATTACATTTTGCTCTATTCTATCGAGCCAGTCTTTATTCAATCGATCAATATTTTTAGTAAATATTTTTGTATATCGTTAAACCTCAAATAATAGACTTCATTTTTTCATTCAGCAATGTAGATATAAATATAAATGTAAAAATTAAGGCCGGTACTTATAGTCGGATTTTGTATTTAAGCTCGTCTTAAGTTCATCTTTAGATGATGAACGGATCATATCATTGGCTACGGGGTATCTGGAGCCTTATTCTCGAAAAATATCGCATACAATATTTTTATGAAAAGCTATAGCTCATGCTTCGTATATTATAGCTTTTTATCGAAATATCATATACGATATTTTTCAAGAATACGACCCCTGAAAGGGAACTTAAGACGGTCTTAAATATAAAAGATGAATATCGGCTTATATTAACACGACGTTATGTCAGATGTGGATGAGGTACAGTTTGGGCGTTTGATTCACGAGATGGCGCTGAAACTCACAAAAATGCACAGACTGAATATTCTTATACGACTTTCCACTCTATCCGATTCTCTTTATTGATTCCTTTAGCCCGTAGTATACATTCGGTGTGCATGGTGTGTGTGAGATCACGTATTTAGTAACTATTTTGTTTAACATTATTAATTTCTCAAATAAATAACAGAAACACTTTGTAGGATATTGTGTCAGGCTACTAGATAGTTATTTGTCTTCTCATATTTCACTTAATATTTCATGATTCCGATGGATTACCGTGACCATTTTCATATCAACATCTCAGATCAACAACAAAATAAATTTATGAAATTGCATATTGTCGGTTGCACCGCACAAAACTATTGATTGAAAAAGAAAATCTTGCGCGCTTTTGAACAGTTTTAGTTCTTATCCCGGTACTTGTCGCACATAACCTTAAAGTGTTTTGTTAAGTAACCTCCGAACACGTGCACTATAATTTTACAAGATTTTCGATCAATATTTCTCGTGTTTGTTCTGAAAAAGTATTCATTTGTGTTGTTAATCGTCTTATTCTACTTGCAATTCTGTTTTTTGTAGAAATGACAAGCAAAGCGAAAACGCCAAAGACGAAGGAAGGTGCCTCTGAGGACGCACCCTTGAAGAAGAGGCCATTCAAACGCCATGGACGTTTGTATGCGAAGGCGATCTTCACAGGATATAAACGTGGATTGCGTAATCAACATGAACACACTGCTTTGCTGAAGATTGAAGGAGCCGGTACAAAGCAGGACTCCAATTTTTACGTAGGAAAGCGGTGTGTCTATGTGTACAAGGTAAAATTCTTTCTATACAGATAATATACTTGTAAATATACAGATAATATACTTGTAAAATAGAATATATAAGTCATGTTAGTGTGAAAAATGCATGATACAATTTTTGTACATTGAATCAATCAAAAAGTTTACTTCAGTTTTCTGTCTGGCAATAATAAACTTGCTACTTTCTATAATAGAGATATATAAATGCTGCCAAAATGTTAGTAGAGTTATAAACAAGGATTGTGATTGTTTGGTTGATAAATAATGTTTTTATTATATACAAGTAAAATAAAAAAGAATTTTTTTACTAAATGATCTAATGTGATAATTGATGTAATATTTATTTATTTATTCTTAATGTATTTTTTCCTAATGTTATTTGTATAGACATTTACAAAAAATAAGCTATATTAAAAAATATTCTTAGGCCAAGAACAAGACTCCTGTACCAGAAAAAACGACGAGAAAAACTAAAGTTAGAGCTATTTGGGGCAAAGTGACTCGTCCTCATGGAGCAAGTGGATCAGTACGTGCAAAATTCAAGAGGAATTTACCAGCCAAAGCTATGGGCCACCGTATCAGAATTGTATGTTTTATTAAGTAAAAATTTAAAAAAATATAAGTAAAATTAAGTAATAAATAATCTCTCTTAATGTTACAGATGCTGTATCCTAGTCGGATCTAAATATTCCTCTTGTATAATTTAAGCGAATAAATGCCATTTTGGTAAAGTTGCTTTATTTCATTTCATGTAAACCCGTCATTGTATCTTTGTAATTAATATTGTGTTGTGACACTGCAACAAGCAGCAGCTAAAAAGTCCACCTGTGGATTCTGTGTTTACATGTTCAGCTTGACGTAATGTCGTGCGGTTTGATCGTAGTTTCGGATTCTTCTAGGGTAGCTTGGTTTCATCTCCGCGCTGGAATGCGGAGATTACTCAGCCCGCGCGCCACGACAAGGCGCTAGCATCCATGCGCGGGTGCATCTTCGTTGGCATTCGCAGGACATCGCGTCGGATATACGTATACGCGTGCGCATTGTTATATTTATTCTCGCTTTCTCCATGACACGAAGCCGTAACTTAACCTAACCTTAAATGTAAATCCTGTGTCACCCACGGCATCGCGTGTTTGAAAAGATTCCACTGTCAAGCTGCTCGAGGTGGTGTCACAAAGTATGAGTCATACCGCAATCTTTCGCTCCGATCTGGATTTTTAAAATACAAATCTTCGTGCGAATCACGCGTAGATTTGAATAACGCCCAGCGTCGGAAAGTTTACTGTGTGTCACGACCGTTTGCGGATGGATTTTGCGTATCGCGGAAAGCAAGTGGTGAGTCGGTAGACTCCGACGAGAGAAACGATTGTTTTTCTCCTGCCGTCGTCGAATTACGATGCCGTGCTCGTCTTTGTGAAACGAATCTCGCCTGGACGGCAAGCGCGAACGATGTTCTGCTGTCTGAGAAACTGTTTCGACGGCCTCGGCTTCGCCGCGGCTCAAGTACCGCAGCGAGAGCGAAATCCCATCGCCTTAGACACGTCCCACATGGGTAATTGTGAACAATTGTAAACACTTAATATCAATGTAACGTAACGTCGACCCGCCTTTGTGATCACGTTCAACTCATTTGCATCATGAGATTTTTTAAATACGATGAAATCATGACACTGATTTAATATTACGGGAAACATTCGCAGAATTGTTTACAAATTAACTCGACATAAACAATTAGTGGTTGTTTACGTCGAGCTAACTTTGACTGTGCCACTTTGATATTTCGACTTCTGTGATAATGGCCAGGTGAAATAAACAGATGTACTTTCTTCCGATGCAAATTAATTAACCATAATGCTTTATGTATCTTTAGATGATGAATAATTTATAAATGTTTGTCATGTGAGATCATCACACACACACACACACACACGCGCGCGCGAATTCTGTTTTTATCAAAGCATATTTCCGATACAATAATTTTCATAAATATAAAATAATCCGTTCTTTTTTTAATTCATTTGTATTGTATAATAAATATTATGTTTTGATCAATAAGGAAACTAAAAGTCTGATACATCTTATTTGTAGATATTAATTGATATTTGGTGTTTTTTTCTACATATTAAATTTTAAATATTCTTACATTACTGATATATATTTAGATAAGTTGTATGAAAATATGTTTACTGTATGTATAAATATAATAATTCAATATTACGATGCTTTTTCATACAGGAAATGAGGTAGTGATAGTAAAAAATGGTCTAAGAATATGTGGTAGTGGTGGTGCCTTAACGAACGCCCCTCTCGTTCAGAGTAAAAGTTATTTTGAAGTAAAGATTCAACAAGGCGGCATATGGGGTATTGGATTAGCCAGAAGAACTGCAGACCTTAACATTGCGGTAGGAGGAAAGGACTCAGAAAGTTGGGCACTGAATTCAGATGGTATTCTAAGACACAATGAGCAGGAGCTGCACAAAATACAAAATCCTGTACAGGAAGGAGATGTCATTGTAAGGATTATTTGATTTTAACAGTTCAGAAGAATAGAGACTCAATAAGCTTTTTGTTTGATAATGTGTATCAAAAGTTCCTTATATTCTCTGAATATTTGTTAAAACATTAAATCAAGCTGGACAAAAATTCTAAGATGAAATGTATTGATTTATATTGTGATTGATACTTTCTGAAAGAATAACTGAAGATTCGTTTTTTCAGGGAGTATCCTATGACCACGTAGAATTGAATTTTTACTTGAACGGGGAATCTATGAATGCTCCAGTCATAGGTATAAAGGGACGAGTTTATCCAGTGCTCTATGGTAAAGCATTTTATGTTTTAATAAATAAATATAATAAGCATATATCGTACCACTTGTGATGTTTGTTTTAACTGATTATATTCTAACTTGTAGTTGACGATGGAGCTATTCTAGATATAATTCTGGAAAATTTCATCCATACCCCGCCAATGGGCTTCGAAAAAATAATGCTGGAACAATCGTTGCTCTAGCAAAACGGAAGTAAGATCGTTAATATATCGTTAAAGTTTTAACACTAATAATAATACATTATTCGTCCATTTCGATTTTAATTTAATATTGGAACTGCGTTAATAATAAATCGAAGAAAGAGATCATAATGACATTAGTATTAAGAAATAAGGTCACAAAGTGTAAACGTTTGTCATAATAATCGCATGATGACATAAATATACTTAATTGTGGAGAAATGTGAAATAAACGATTTGCCTAATATGTAAATCTATTTTTCGATCTACTCTCTACAGAGAACACATTCGCGTAATAAGTAAGTCGCGTATAAGTAATTTTACATAAATTATCTGAAAACTTGTCGGGTTTATTAAAATTAAAGGGTTCATGACATATTAATCGCTCTTGAATGTGTGACTTAAATTCTGCTCTATTCTGATCTGTCTATTATACAATATAATTATATATTTTTGTTTGTATAATTGTATAATAATAGATATAATGTATTCATAAATATGTGTGTACAATTCATGTAATATATAATATATATGTACGTATGTATGCATTGTATACATAATGATTTATTGATCCTTAGATAACTAATGGTATGGTATGTACACTGGCTTAAATAAGGTACCGACGGCTTTAGGCCTATTGTTCGCTTTATTAGGCTAGTGTGTCATGGCATTTCATTAACTATCTCTCTTCATATAGTTCTTCTCTCTTACGACGAATATTGTATGTAAACGTTAAAGCTAAATGTCTCGTCCTGCCTAATATACCGAAAATTCGCGCCTTTTTACATCATCGATCGCGTGAACGTTTTAACAATTTAGTTTCGCGTACACGTGAAAGAAAATATATTCCACTTGACATTACCGAATGCACAAAATTCAAAATGTGTTTCAAGAAAAACTGCAAAGGCTCTATTATCGTAATATAATCTAATCAACAAATTTTGTGCTCATTAATTACCTTTTATCTGATAAAAGACTTAATCACAGTCAAATAAGCGCCTTTTATTACAATAAGACAATGATAACTAAACAGAATATATATTAAACTAAATATTTTGCGCTTATCGACGACGTAATGATGAGCTTTTTTTGTCTGATAATGTGTATCAAAAGTTCCTTATATTCTTTGAATGTTTGCTGAAACATATTAAATCTTTGGTCCTTAATATTAGCTTTAAACAATTAGTATTAATAATGTGTTACACACTTACATATTTATACTATATAAATATCATTCCATTGTGAAACAATGTCATTTCGTTAATATCATATTAACTTACACATCATTATTTGCCATAATGAAAGTTCTATATGCTGAACGTAACATTGTTTATTTTCAACGGTTAGTTTTTTAAATACATAATTTATGGCACTCTGTATTTCCTCTATGTAAACTTATATTTATATATATATATATATATTTTTTTTTTTTATTCGTCCAAAAGATCTGCATGTATCTTCAAGAGAGCCCTTGCAACTTTTATATACTTCAGTTGTTAGCTATGTATACACATATGTATGTATATACATACATACATATAACTGTACGATAGCTATATTACACATATTTTATGACTGGATGATATGAGATATTTATAATGGTAACCCATCGAGTCTTATTGCACTTGCAACTTCCGTTGCTTGGTGAGTGAGTACTATCCGTATTAAGATAGCTTGACTGACTTTGTAATCACTGATCACTGTCTAATGCATTATGCTGTCGTTTGATTAAACTATATAGGCCTGTGATTAAATAACATAAATAAAATTTACAAAATTATCCCTGTAAGACTTTCACACAATGCAATTTAATTATCTGGTGATGCCGTGAATACTCTTCTAGAACAAAATAATATCATTAGTGAACAATATAGTATTTTGTATTATACATCTCGAATATAGAGTAGAGCCGTTGATTACAATTTCTCGAGCAATATTCAGATCAATAATGGAAAAGTACTTTTTCCTTGTCCTCGAAAATTTCCATCGGAAATATACGTATACATCAATTTCTATGTGGCTTATTATATAAGTGTCTTATTACTTAAACTATACAAATTGTTTTTGTAAAACTAACGCGAGCTCGTTTCAATTATATTGCAAATAATTTGATTAAAAAATATATATGTACTTTCAGATATATACATTTACAAAAGTAAGTCAAAACCTATGCACCTTTTAATTACAACGTGCTACTGATATAAAAAATTGTATAACGCATGAAATATCTACCAAACCTGAAATATTAATATAATACCTCTATTTCTTGGCTTCTCATCGTAAAAGATGATCTGCGAACTAATTTGAGATCTCTTGCATGTTCTCTTTTTCTCTTTTAATCAAAATAATGATTTATCTCTTTTAATATAATTAGCATGTTTGTGCAATAATTAGTGGCATTTGTTATACGTATATCTGATTAATACATACTATATAAATTCAGTAATGCATCAAACATGAATAAAACTGATCGCTAGTTATTCAATTTTTCAATATTATTTCATTATTACAAGCACTTCTGATTTGCACTCAATGCTGATGCAATTTGTATTGCATTGTATTTTATTGTTCTGTATGTTGAATTGTTCTAAAAAAAGCCTGTGCTTACATTTTTGTTAATAGTAGAATCTATTAAAATTTCGCATTACATTTAGAAATAAATTCTATTATTTTATTAAATTAGATTAACTCAATTATAAAAATTGTTTTCAACATACACGTGTAATAAATCTATAGCTTTTAAAGAGATAGTACAAACTTCATGAAAATTCTCAAAAACTCATAAATAAGCATTCATAAAAAAATATAAAATAATAAAAAATGGATAGTATTTGCAATTTGTCTTCAAAATATTATTTTCCTTATCTTTCTTTCTTCTAAGATTATCGCTGTTCTATATATATATTTTTCTTTTTTTTTTATTGAGAAATATGAGTTTATAATTGTATCAACATGTTATAACACTGCGTTTAAATCCCTGTGTAAATCCCTATATTGAACAGAAATAGATATATGTAAATAAAAAAAAATATAAAATAATTAAACGACAAAAATATTTATAAAAATTAATGGGAGGAAAATCATTATTTGGCGTGTATTGGCAATTACTCAGTTTGTGGTTAATATGGATACATATAAGAAAATGATCAACTTTATGACTACATATATAATTAGAAGCAAATATATGTTACTTATATATGGAAGAACCTTCATAGAGTTTGCGAACGTTTCATGAATTATAGAAAATTTCTGTGATTATGAAATAACCATTTTTACACGCTTTTAATTTACTGACAGAGTACCTAGGAATCACACCAAGGTTCTCGGAGCTCTCTTTGGTCTTGTCCAAGTACACTTGTTTGCACAACGGTTGCGTACACTTTTTCCGATGATATTAAGAGCGCATCAGATGATCACGATTACGAGCCACCGGTGTGCAAACGAATGTACATTTCTGTGCTTTTGGTAAATTTCACACAGACAGCTACGCATCGATTACGCAAAGTATCTCATTGTAACACTTTCTACAATATATCCCCGAGATGCTCAGATCCCGAGTAACGCGTGCTGACGGATGCGAAGTGTCGATAAGGATTATGTCGGTAATGTACTCACACCTCATTCGTTATCCGTAGTATCTTCAATGACAGAATCCCAATTAAATTCTGTAGCACTTTGCCTCGAGGGTAATTCACCAAGATGTTGAAATCGTTGTACGAAGTAGGGATCACGATCTCTAAGCCGTTTAAATCTTTGAAAGGCGAGATTCTTTGCGAACTCATAGAGTTCCAGGTCCAAGTTGTTGAGTCTACGTACGGCGTCCAATTGCTCCGCGCTGAGAGTTGCCATAGTAGCTGCGCTGAGTGTAGCATTGTGCTGCTCAAAGGCAACTGCGAAACGCATTCCAAACGTTTCTTCAAACGAATACTGTCCCACCTGCATGATTTAATATTTTGTTATTAGTACACAAATAGAATATATTAAAATATACTGTGTCGGTAAAAAAAAAAGTTTGGTCTGATAATATTTTGAAGGTAAATGTGATCAGTTTCTGCAAATAGAAGTACACAAACGCTGCTACAATTCCAGCGATTACTTGATATAATTCTATTGAATGTAATAAAGTCAAATTCTACTTAATAATCGTGCTAAATTATTTTATTTTGTTCCCATACTTATTAATTCTGCACTACTTTCAATATTTGCAATATTTTACAATGATATGTTTTATTATAGTCTCCAATCTCTTCAAAATTGAAAATATCAATATATAAAGTTTATATTACACACCATACTTTTTTTTTATATAAACAGTTATTACAATAATATTAATATAACGATTTTGGTATAAACTGTCATGCTGTTATATAATTGGATAAGTATTTCTAAATGTCAAGTATCTCAATCTGGTCAGAGATCAAGGATAACAGCTTCAACAAAAAAGTCGACCAAAAAAAAATAATGACCCGAAGCATTTATGATAAAGAGATGCCATTAAAGTTACACACATACTATAAAAGACTTTAATATATTTCTAGGATCAACTAGAATTTTCATCATCACTTTAATCAAATATGTTTTTTGAGTTTATCAAATTTTTTTATTTTAAAGTAGAATATCTGTATATAATGAAGTATATAAAATATAAATAAATTGCAAAAAGAGAAAGTTACATATTTCTTAAGATTTTTTAATTGTATTAGATACAGTTGTGATAAAGCAGTAACAAATCAAGGATGGCAACAAGTAATTTATGAAAGGAGCCTATTGCTCCCACATGTTGAGAGGGAAGTTCTCATAAATATTTACATTAAGACGTCTATTCTTAAGCAGCCAAGTCGCGGACGTGATGTATAAGAATAACAACTTCACACAGTTTAGAATATTTGCAAAAAAACTGCAATGCGCTGCTAAATTTATGCTTACTCTTTGTATTATTTTGTTTATATATAAGAATAATTTTATAAAAATAATTTATATTGATTAATTATATCGTGATCACTTTTTGGTCAATGAAAAAACTATTTTCATAAAACATATTTGCATAAGAACATATAATATTAAATATTATGATACTTTCTATAATTTGTGTGATAAATATTAAAGTAATTAATAATATTAAAAATAATAATTAAAATAAGTTATAATAATTATAATTATTAATAATAATATAATTATTTTAATTATTAATCAATTTAATAATTAATAATTAAAATAAAAGGAAAAAATACGCAAACACAATAATAATGAAAAAAAGAAACGTATTTAAATGTATTAAATACCTTTTGGTACTCAGTCAACATGAAGAAAGGCATGAACTGCAAATTGTGTTTAGCACTGGCTAGCATTAGACGATCTCTATCAGTATTGCTGAGAGTGGAGTTGTAACAGCCAACTATTGATAGATCTGCTAGCATTCTAGTTTGGCGATTATTCGCCAAATTGTAAGAACACGCCATAAACTGCAAATATACAATTTCAATCAAGTGTTAATCATTTTTAATTTTTACATTAATATTCATATAATTTACTTCTATTATTATCTCGAACAAAGTTCGATTTTCAGTTCGATCTTTCATTGATAACATCAGTCAACACAACGGACTTATTATATTAAAAAATGTGATACAGTTTTATTTATAAGAAACATATTGTACATATATAAGATAAGAAAGTTTTTATATAAATAATTTAATCTACGTTATATATATAATATATATTCTTATCTTGGATTTTTATCATTATTTCGAATAGAATTCGACTTTTTCTGTATTCGTCTCGATAACAGCAAATCAACACAATGCGCGTATTATGGAAGAGAGTATCATAAAGTTATCTGACAGGAAATAACTGCACGTGAAGTAAGAAAGGGTAGTCTTAGATACGAGAGAGAACTCTTATCTCAAGTTATTTCTAGACGTAGAAAGGCATGCAGATAGGCTACTGCATGCCTTATACTCATGGTAGAAGACAGCATCAAAAACAAGTAAAATTGGCAATCATAAGATCAAGCGAAAACGCTTTATGCGTAATTCTGGATAAAGTATTATATAATTACCTGTTCTAAGGTGACACCTTGCCAGCTGGGCCCAGTATAACACTGGGGTATATTTGCTTGAGTACCTCCGCACCAGTGACGAGCACCTCTCCACGTAGCACCTCTTTGCACATGTCTGAATTCGGAGAGATACCTAGCGACGGGATCCCTAATGATAGTTATGTAAAAGTAACGGCGCCTTATGCCATCACCTTCGATTTTATTAAGCTCCGTATCTACACAACTCGTTAACTCGGTCCAGTCCGCGTGCAGACCGCACTTCCAGCCGGTCGAGTACCGTGAGAACAGCCAATTTTCGTTACGGTTTGGACGGAAACAGAAGCAACGCTTGCGTCGTCGTTGACACGAGCACGGTCTTTGCAAATCTAGGTCTCGCACCAGATGTTTTCCAAATAATGTCCCACCTTGAAATAGAGTAAACATTACATTAGTATATATCTCTCAATGGATATTCATTTTGTTTGCTGACATTTAGATGAATGAAATCCGAAATTTCTTTATGTATGTTCTATATTTTAAATAAATACTTTTCTCTCTTTTTTCTTCTCTTTCTCTCTTTCTATATATATATATATATATATATATATATATATATATATATATATATATATATATATATATATATATATTTCTCACATACACCTTATATACTTTTCATATACACCCATGTACTCCTGTAATTCAATAATTTTTTTTATATGTAGTAATATGTGTATGCTGTAATTTTTTTATTATGTGATTTGCTTTTTTTTATAAATTAAATTGTATGGCAAGTGTATTACAATGAGTTGTACTTTTACAAAGGAAAATTTATGAACGTAAGAAGAAAGAAGACAATGAGAGGATGCAAACACACAGCATACTAAATAACTCCATATCCCTGAATTATTCTCTTTCCCTCTTTCTTTCTAAGACCAGAGGGCCTGCTGGTTTGAGAATGCGTGATGAATAATGCAATAATTCAAGTACACAATGGCCAGAGAGGAAGTAACATTTCTTTATTGTTTTATTCTTCTCTAAGCATCCGCTAAACGTATATTTTGGTGATACAAAATGATACATGCGTCTAAATAAATATTTCAACTTTTGCAAATCATATATTTATTTTGGAATATAATATCCGAAATATATATCTCCCAAGAATTTATTATATATAGAACTCTTGTGAAATTTGATATGTTAATTACTCATTATATATTAATTATTGTTATATTAAAAAAATATCATTAATAAATTTAATACAATGACAAAATATAGACTGCACTGAAGTCAGGATAAAAAATAATTTGTAAATCAGTTTTAACACACGTAAAGAATTAAAATATGAATTAGAAGACAATTTATATAGAGAGCAAAGTCTTTGGCTTCCAGACTTGGCGTAAAGATTACAGATGTAAACTTTAGTAGGACAATTTATTTTCAAGATAATAACTTATCCAGAATCTCTAGGATCAATTAATAATCTAGGATCAAGATCATCTATAAATATAAATCTTTACTCATGGTAAACAGCCTAACAGCAACAAATTACTTACCAGTTTTTTGTATATGTAGGAACACCATGACATCATGAGCATTGATATCAAACTGAAAGGTGTCATTGGCGAAAACATCGTCGTAGCCCAGGCTGCCCTGGACGCTCTGGAGCTTGAAAGCAGGATGGACCGACATCAGGCCGTTCCTATCAAGCTCGATGGACACGGAAGACAGACCAGAGCCAACAGGGCCGACAGGGGACAGCAGGCCCTCGGACAACCTGACGGACTCCTTGATCTCGCGGTTGGTCAGAGCGCATACATGATCCGGGCAGAAGTAGCCCAGGTAGACGATTCCGCTGAGCGCCAGCAGCAGGCATACCCCGACGATGCTACGCAAGCGGGTCCTGCGCGGCCGCGACTCCATCGTCGCCGACCTCCTCTCGTCACATAAGTCTTCCGGCACGAGCAGAGCGAGTTCGCTAGCGTCTACCGATCCGTCGGCACCCGCTGCTCGTCTGCCCATTGGCATCGCGCCCCATGTCTCGCGCTTCACGGCTTCTGCGGCACCAGTGGACGACGTAAACGCGCCGCGCAACGTTCGTCCGACACGACGACTCGATCGTAACTACGCTCGCGTCGAGCGTCGGCCATGACAGATGCTCTGCTCTCCGCTGTTCACCGCTCCACTCCTCTCCACTCCTTCACGCTTCATGCTTCGGCTCCCTGCCACTCTCCTTTAGATACACAGACGCTCGAGTAATGTCCCCGTCGTCGTCGTCGTCGTCGTCGTAGTTAGAGGATACGGTCCAGTGGGCGCTGCAAATGATTTGTAGCGTTTTTACTTCTTTCTCTTTCTTCATTCGAATCCGAGGAATAGAACAAGAGGGAGAAACGCTGCGCAGCATTTGTAGCGGTTGTTGGACCGCACCCGTAGCGTATGGTTGGATTACGTTAGGCTGGCGCGTGTTTTGTATCTCAACTCCCGCTCGTACGATGCTCAGTGATCCTCATCGCGCTTGAAAGCATCAATTTTCCTATATCTGCAGAAAAGAGAGAGAATAAGATAATTTGATATTTCGAAATATTTTGAAATATTCTTGAACCATAAATAGAGAGAAACCACTGATAAGTCGAATCACGATTGAAATGGTTCGATATCATGGATTTATCGGGCTGAATCTTAAAATTAACTTCAGGAATTCAAAGTCTTTTAAGGCTACTTAAATAAGTCCTTGCAAAATATGTTGGAATAAAATGATATGTTCATAAAGTGAGTCTTGGGATCGATTGAGCAAATCGATTGTAAAATATTCCTTTTGTTCTAATAATCAATAACCGTAAAATTAACGTGACATGTAATTTTTCTTTTTAGCTTCTCATAATTTTATGATGTTAATTTTACATATATTTGTTGATGTGTTTCTCGTTTTAGAGTAAAAAGAAAGTTTCCGGGATATTTTACAAACGTGTTTAATCGATCGTACAAGTGTCGATTTGTAAACATAATATTTTATTTTAATGTATTCTCCGTTAAAATTTTTGGCAACTTTTTCTTACTTATTAATGAAGATGGCCGCGGTGAGGAGCCACAGGAGTCTAATTCAAATTTTAAATTTTAAACGTGGCAGTTATGAATGAACTTTGATAGATTACCATATAAAGATCCCTGAATTGTGCCGTGGACCGCGTGAAGTATGCTCGGCGTCTGTTTCGGTAATCGACATAGTTCACGCGAATCGCCATAGTTCACGCAATATGCGAGTAGGAACGGATGGCTGCATGTGTTTCTCGTTAAAAGACATATATTTTCTTACGGTGTCGATTGCGGTTACGAGCGAATGCGAGGTTCAGACCGAAAATGCAAAACGAAGTAAGTGCGAGACGTAGCTTTGAGTGAATAGAAGTAAAAACGGCCGAAAGAAATCCGCTTGCGAAATTCAATATCTATGACACCCAATACTCTCGGAAATGGCGGTTACTTTTTACTCGGCAATTTCTTTTCCGTTCCTAACATATAGACGTCCCTCGACGATATAACTATAAATACCGAATGTATAGAATAAAACGCGTAATTTACTAAAATACAACATATTTAAAGAGATTAAAATCCCGAATTTTCTTGTATTTTACTAATAACTAAAGTGGATAGATAAGAATTCAGTAATTTTTAAATTTTATAAGAAAATGGATTTTTTTTTATAAATCACTAATTCTAATTTAACTTTTATAGGGAGCTGAAAGATTCACGACATTCATCAACACACATATACGTACCTACACAGTGAATGCCAGAGGTGAGTACAATAAAAACTTGTTAATGGCATGTGTAAAAAAATTATAAATGAATCAGTCTCAAGTATTATCAGGTATTACGTCTATTACATGCAGTGTATATTGCAAGTATGAAATATATCTGAAGATAATAATTTGTCTCTCAATGAGCGCTTCCCTTTAACCGTAATCAAAGATCATACTAAACGCAAATAGTTTCATTCAGCGTCCTTGTGTAATAAATGATAATATTGCATTTGATAACTCGCGTGTTATTTAACACTCGGCCTCATATGCCACAGCGATTCTCAGTCTATGTGCAAGACCACGAGTAAAGTAAATTATCTCAAGATACACGAGTAAAGGAAAAGCGATTTATGTGTGTCGTATAAAAAAGTAATAACAAGAGTAAAAAAATGGTCGCATTTATTTCACAAACAATTATGTTCTGTAAAATTTATTGTCGCGTGTTGACTCGAGAGGGAGTTACTTGCTCTCGAGTCACAAAATGAAGTGCGTGAAGGATCTTGCAATTCAGTATCTCATAGAGACCTAACCTTGAAAGTGTTTCAAGCACTTCTGTCAAATTCTCCAACGAGCTTACGTGGATTATTAATAACAAGTAAGTATTCCTGAAATCTTATATGTATTAGCATTACAGTACATATTATACATATTGCAATTATATATCTTTGATATTTTAGCTTTTAGAATGTCATCCATTAAGTTGCTAGAAGACAGAATTATTAATTTGGAGAAGCAAGTGTATGGACCAAGCGAGACAATTAATATTGATGATTCTGTACCATCAAATGCTGTCATTGATCGTCTGCTAGATGTCAGCTCATTAATATCCTCCGCATTGTCGGGCAGAGAGAAGCCAAATGCGATCATCAAACGGTTGCCGGAGCTAAATGGCTACTTGGATCCTGTTTCTGAGGATATTGACATTCCCACAAGTGCTAAAGCACAATTATTGTTGACAGTGGAGCCAGAGATTATGGAGAATTACAAGCTTTTAACTAAAATGCAAGAACTTGAGCCTGTTTTAGAGTCTGAGCGTATCAAGAATGTTCCTGAATTTAACAATACATTTAATAAGTTATCGCTGTCATATCTCAAAGCTTACGAGGATTCTAAAGAACTGAATGCTCATGTACAGGATCTTTTATCTAAATATAATGCAGTCATAAACAGCATATCAGTTTCATTGATTACTTTGGATGCTGCAATTACTGCTGCGGAAATAGCAGCTATGCCAAAGAAACAAATAGAAGATGATTGAGGAGATAATTATCGTTCTGTCTACTAAGTGTATTAGTGTTAATTAATTTTTTAAATGTATTAGTGTTAATTTTTTAAGTGTATTAGTGTTAATTAATTTTTTAAATGTATTTTTTAAATGTATTTTTTTTACATGCAAAATTAATTTAATCAGTAATATTTTAAATTATTTATTATAGTGCAAAATTAATTTTATCAGTAATATTTTAAATTATTTATTATAGTGAAATGTTCTTTAGAATCACTCTGGCTTAAATTAGAATAAAAATGTATCGCGATTTCGTTTAAAATACATTTATTTGTTATTTTTATTTTCGAAATATATAAAAATATGCATTCATCAATGACTATGCATATATAAACATACTTTTATCTTGTTGTATCTCTATAACAATGCATTTTATTAAAATACTCATATTATATACATTTATCCTATCTACTACTTATGCTATCCATTGTTCATTTCAGGAATCCTTATTTAGGATCTCTGAGACAAACTGTCGATTCTCATATAATCGGACATGTATATGTGTATTGGTCTCTTATCTTAAATCTTAAATAATTATTTTTTAATTGATATATAGAGTACGTTGTGTTTGAATGTCCGAGATATCACAATTTGTTTTTAATTTCATTTGGCAATTATGAATATTTTTTTGTAACGATACGTATCGGAATTTTTTACGTACAGAAAATGTTTAACGAGACCCATTTCACTAATAAACTCTTATATACCACATTATCGATAATAAACAGTTTACTTTATACAGTATTTACATAATGATTACTTAATTGTAAATCAGTATAATTTCATCGTCTTCGATTTTCTCTACATATGCCGTCACAATTTTTGTCTTTTACGAAATTAAAATGTTTATTTTTCATTTTATCATTTAACAACGGCAATGAGATTTGAGAATTATTAAAAAAATATCTCCTGTGATATTAATAGGAACATTTAGATTGAGAAATATGAAGAAGGAATGTCTAAATTTGAAAAAATTGCACATATGTGTATGCATGCGGGTGTTTAAAATTTTTTGGTGCAATTTTACGGAGAAAGTTAAGAGATTCCAGACCGAATTCTTATCTTGCGATGATTCTTTCGTTAATTTTTCTTGTTCGTAAAAATGAGAACTCTCTAATTTACAATCGCATGATATAAGGCAAGCGAAAGCGGATACGTCGTGTCGTTGCGTTAATCGATAAAAATAATTGAAGTCGAGATTTCAACAATACTTTAACATAATTATCGAACATTTCGCTTTTACTTGCTTTACCATTCTATGTGATCGAATATCAAAGAGTTTTTTCATATGCTACTCCCATTTGACACTTAACCGACGAGCGCATAAAACCATGTTTTATTTAGATCGTAAACGACGCGGAACGCGTGGTTCTCTTTTTTTATATAGATTTTATAGAATACATATTACAGAAGAATAAAAAATATCTTACAAAATACACGGATATCGCAAATCGATAAAATTCGTCAAATACATTTCCTCATATTTACATTTATATAAAAAAAGAAGTCATTTAATCAAATAATGTTTTAATTTTTGTGCGTGTTCGATTATCCACCGTAGATCAAAACGTCAATGTTTTAATCTCTCGTCGGTTAAGTTTCGTGAACTTCGAAATGTTTCGTGAACTTCGAAAAAATTGGCAAAATAGCGATTTAGCTTTGCGTTCGCAAAGCTGGCACTGATTCGCGTAGCCACGAAAGCGCTGGCTCTAAGCTCGAGTAGATTGCTGGATGACCTCTTGAGCATCTACTGTGATAACTGAGTAGACCTTGAATTTCCCATCGTTCCGATGTGTTCTGCGATTCACTGGCGCACATCAGAGGCGCTCCTTCGTCGTTCTGAAAGCACAAATTTATGACGTTCTCTTGATACGAGTCAATTATTATTTTCAATGAATATAAATTATCTGAATTAATAGCACTTTGAACATTTTTGCCGAATAAATAATGGTTCTTTTTCGCAAACGTCACACTTACATAACAAGGGCCTTTATTAGTATCGGTGAATCCAGCGCATATGTCGTGTTCCGTGATAAATCCTGCATAATGACTCGTGGTGTTGCAATTGTCGGAATCGTACGTCGGAATAGGCAGGAATTTGAGATATTGTTGTAGATTTATTTCGCCATTCATAGGAAATCCCCATCCTGCCGTCACGCAAATCTGTCTCGGCTGAAGTGAAAGAAAAGAAACGAAAAGAAATTATAGATTGCCGACTGAATAAAACATATGAGACTGAAGGAAAAGTATATATACCTGGATAGGTTGTCTGGGCAGGCAAACGGCACTGACGTTTCTAGAGAATACTAACGGCTCCTCTAATTCGATTAAGGCGATGTCATTGTTGTACCGGAATTGATTATACTTCACTTGCGGATAGGGCACGATATTTTTCACGTGGTGTACCTTCAGCATATTCCCACCGGCGAACAGTTCCCATCCGCTTCTCTCTTTGTATCTGCAAAATCACATAGAACTTTATGTTATATATATATATATATATATATATATATATATATATATATA